GGCTAAAAAAAAAAAAAAAAAGAAAAAAAAAGTTTAGAAAATAAGTCATCAAAAAATTTTAGATTCCTGTACTGATTAAAATCAAATTTTACCTCAAAGTTTAATTTTTTTATCCTTGTTCACATCAGTGGTGTTGAGTCTTTCATATATTTTTCATCTCTCAGAAGGTGACTGCAGTTTTTCCAAACCTGCAAATTTCTCACGCATTTTCTCAGCACTACTTTTCCTCAGGTAGCTCACCTTTCGGCATTAACGCTTTATCACTTTAAGATTTCCATGAGAAACAGAGACTGAATCAAGGCAGTGAAATCAATAAAAATGTGATATATGAACCGCTGTCATTCCTTGTGACAAAATTCTAGAAATCACTCACCAAATGTTTTTTTTTTTAAAGTAAAATCTTCAGGACTCAGTTCTATCATTCGAAGGATAGAGCACTCCACAGACTTTTTGTCAAATTACGGATGCTTAGAACTGAGTCCGTTCAGAGTTTCTTAAAATAGCAGGGAGAATGGATGGACATCTCTGTTATAAACAGTGCAAGTGCTGATCACGTACCTTGTGTGTTGCAAAATTATTCACTACAAGTAAAATTTGGTTAGAATCATACCACCGAAGACTTACGCATTTTTGTGATCAGAACACAAACAGAAACAAGTCTAACAGCACAAGCCTAACTGATTTGCAGAGCACTTCAGGAGGTATTTAAAATGCCCCAAATCAATGGAGAAAGAATACTGTTTTGTGGGCTCCCATGACACCAAGAAAGAGAAAGTAGAGCTTTGAGCCCAGAAACAAAGACAAAATGGCAGGAACTGGGCATTCTGTGAGGCAAGTCCTTGTGGTTCTGGGGAGGAGCCGCAGTTTAAGCTCTCTTTTTTCATCTTCTTGAAGTAGAGTTGAGAGAACTCCTGACTTTGAAGCAGCTGAGCTGAGTGCTTTTCCCATTCCCAGTAAATTATGATTCTATTCTCGCTCTTCCAGCTCTTTCTTCCTGAGAAAAATTGCATTGAGCCAACATAGTGTCCACATTTTACTAACAGCACTGTCCATTTGCTTATCAGATTTCAGCTGGTCAGCATTATAGGAATTCAGAGTTCATAGGAGTACAATGTTTCTTCTTCCTTAAGTATGTCGGGAGGGTGAGGGTAGATAAGTGATGTCTCTGACACTACTATATCATGTGACCTTTTGAGATTTCTAATAATCTTGATTCTTGTATCTAGGCCAAAACAAAGGGAGATTCCAAAATTCTCAGTTTTTCTCACTGAGTTATATGTCGGTATAGAATGTCACCCAATTACACTGGAAACGTGTTCCTTGGATTGACAGCTTCTTGTCTTATGTTGCAGGAGGGATTCTAGCTCCAATTTATTTTGGGGCCATGATTGACAGAACGTGTATAAAGTGGTCTACTACCAGCTGTGGGGCACGAGGTGCCTGTAGGGTGTACGATTCAGTATCATTTGGGTAAGTTGTCGTATCTGTATTACATTAATTTGTCCTTTGACTGTATTAAATCCTAAAGGATAATGTTTTCAGTATGATTCAGTACTGTATCAAGCCATCTGTCATTTGAGGGTAAAGTTTATAGAAACTGTATACAGTGGATGTTGTATCTCTCCCCCTTAAATATGAATAAATTAAGATGCAAGTATAACAAGTAATTCATCCAAAATTATATAACTAAAAGAAAAAAAGCTAGAATTTTGTTCAAATCTTTTGTGTTTCCAAAAATTATCTTCAGACCAAAAAACTCTCATTGTATTTTTTTTTGGGGGGGAAGATCTATATAGGTAGATTTTTATTTCTTATGACTCCTCTGAGAAGACATACGCAGTTTGCTCACAAGACACGATGTATTTAAAAAATTTTTAAATGTATTTCATTAATAACAGTTGCCAGTAACCCCCCCTTAATTATTCCGCTTTGCTTCCAATACACTTATCCCATCCTTCTTGTAACATTCTGATGCAGTTCTGGAGGGTCCCCTTCACGAGGATCTTTAGTTCTCCCATTTTGTCTGCCTCAGTGTTCTGAGTCCGTATGTTTATTTCAACCTTATATTAAAACACCTGTTTACATGATAAAGAATTCTAAACTGGCAATTGCTTTCATTTGACACATTGAAGCCATCATTATATTGTTTTCCAATTTTCATATTTCTGTTGCTAAGCTAGCTGTTGACTAGTTTTCTTGCTTTTAAGGTAATTGGTCTTTTCCATGTGGCTTCTTCAAACAAATATCTTCTCTTTGGTTTAGTATTTGGCAGTTAAACCATAAAGCACTTAGGTGTGGACTTCGAACTTATCCTGACTTAGAATCACGGAACTTCTAAATTCTATGGATCTGTGTCTGTGTCATGCACAAAAATGGCTTCTCAAAAATGCCTTCTCAAAAAATGCCTGTGTCATAATTCTTGAAACTGCAAATTCTCTGTTAAGGTAAAAGGCAGAATAAAGTTCCTAATCAGCTGACCTCCACACAGGTTGATTATCAGTTAGGGTCTGAGGTAAATGTAGATCTTTAAAAATGGGAGAGGAAGGCAAAAGATGAGGTCAGAGTAATGCAGTGCCGAAGTACTGAGGCCATTGTTACTGGCTGTGAAGATGGGTGAAAGAGCTGGGAACCATGGAGTGCAGGCAGCCTCAAGAAGCAGGGAAACAGATTCCTGGATGTAACTTCCAGTTTCCTCTTAAAGATCTCATACATATTTTATTAGATTTACACTGAGTATTTCATTTGGGAACTGTTAATGTAATTGGTAATATCCTGTAAATTTCAAATTCCACTCACCCATTTCTGATTTATAGAAAAACATTTGACTTTAGTATATTAAAATTTGATATATCCTACATTTGCTAGATCTTGCTGTAATTATCTATTACTTGCAAAGAAGTTTTGTCCGTTCTTTCAGACTTTTTACATGGATTAGTAATCAGCAAAAAAGAACACATTTTTCTTCCTTGCTAAACTATATACATTTTATTTAGTGGGTTTTTTTTTTAATCACAATGGGTAAGACTTCCAGATGAATACTGAAAAGCAGTCATAAGAAGGATTTAGCTTAGTGGCACTGCACCTGCCTCATAAATACAAGGTCCTCAGTTTGACTCCCAGTACCACAAACAAACCCCCCCCAAAACAAAAACAAACAAACCAAAAGGAATTTCCTTGTGTAATCTAAATAGAAAGATTTGAGTTCTTCACCATTAAGTAAGAATATCAGTTGCAGGTTTTATATAGCTATTTCTAATCAAGTGAGGAAATTCTCCTATTTTAACATTATTGAGAGGTTTTATCATGAACAGGAGTAAGTTTTGTCAAATGCATTTTCCGTATCTCCCGATGTGATTATATAATTATTTTTCTTAATTTGTTGATATAATGGATTATACCGATGGGTTTTTAAATATCGGTCTAGACTTGCACGCTGTCCCACAATGCCATCATATATACAGTGGACCCCCTTGACTTATGAACTCGATCGGTTCCCAAGGGTTGGTTGTGACTAAGTCAACATGGCTGAGATCTGGATGTTTACCTGGGTACCCACTACAGATAGCAAGAGGCAGACGAACCTTCCACAAATTTAAACAACTCAAGTTGTTCTTATGTCAGACTAGTCATAACTTGAGGGTCCACTGTATATTATAATAAATTGCTTGATTTAGTTTGATATTTTATTGAAAATTCTTGTATCTAAAATGATGAGATATACTGGTCTCTACTTTCCTTGTAATGTTCTTGTCTGCTCTTGGTATTAAGCAATGTTGGCTTAATACAATGATCTAGAAAGTGAGCTTGTACAAAGTCAGTGTTAACTCCTTCTTACTTGTTTATAGAATTCATATGAGCCTAATGCATTTTGCTTTAGAAGGTAACTAATTATTATTGATTCTATTCTTTAATAAATGTAGTCTTATTCAGATTGTCTATTTTTCTTCTATGAGCATGGGTAGATTGTATTTTTCAAAGACCTGGATGATTTAATCTTGGTTGTGAGTGTGGTATGAGGTGTAGAAGGAGGGGCAGTATTGTATCATCTCATGATTAAGCCTCAATCTTTAGTGAACCGATATGTCAAGATAGTAAATTTGAAGCATATTTCTTAGTTGCTCCCTCCTCCATTTGGTGGGTAGGATGGTATGAGGAGGGAGGATTTGGATATTTCCTTTCCTCCACGAGGAAGGCTATAGCCAACTGGAGTTGGGTTTCTCTGTCTTCATAAACCTTTAAATATAACCTCCAACTCCCTGTGCCTAAATTAAAAGTATAACTAGAATTATTGTCTTCTTGTTTTTATATATAATTTCAAATTTTTTCTTTAAAGACTGCATACTATTTATTGTAATTTATTACTGTAAGAGAAATATTGTAAGTTATTATACATAATGTAAAATATAACATTTTTCCTCTCTTTTTATAGAATTGCCTACTTGGGCTTGAATTCCATCTTGAGATTTCTAGCATTTGTTTTATATGTTGCATTAGTTTATGCCATGAAGAAAAAATATGAAGGAAAAGATACTAAGGCACTGGAAAATGGAAGAAAAATCTTTGATGAGACAAGCGTAGAATCCTTAAATAGCAATGGACATTTTGTATCTTCTTCTTCAGGAGTGAATGACACACATATGTAAGGGAAGAAAAAGATACAACAATACAGTATTAAAGCATTGAGGTGTTCTTTTTCGTTTCTGGTCATTTCAGAAAGGCTCGCTACACTCTACCACTCTACATATGATGAATAAAACCTATGAATATGTAATTAAACAAACTATACACATAAATAATGCCATAGTCATTGTTAGGGTGTAACTAAGCACTTGTAGTTAACATTGTAAAATATGATGCATACAAATTTAAAGTGAGAGGCCTGCTTGGTTCATAATAGAAGAAAAAGAATTTGTTAGAGTAATTGTAACTCAATGAAACTGGTAGCTAGAAAATGGATAGAAGGGAAAAGAAAAATTAATAGATTAAATAATGAGAAAAGAAACAGTTGATGTTGTTACTTAAATCTGAAGTTTAGCCTTTTGGAGGATTTATGTTGTTATATATTTTACAGACTTTATTAATTTAAAATTTGAAAGTGTGTTTAACCAACAATTTGGGTTCACCTTCTTTCTATCTTCCATTAAAACACTTCTGAATAAATTGAGATATTAAAATATTGGCAAGCTATGATTGTCAGAAAAAATGTCCCAGAAGGTAAGATTCTATCACTCACAGAAATGGATTGAGAAAAACTGACTTTGGGAATGTAAAAACCAGTTAATAAATATGATTTTATTTTTACCCTTCTGTTCTCTGGAAAAAGTAAAGTTTATGTCAGATAAAATAACAGCATTAATCATTCCATGATTTTCTGTTTGTCTGTTTATTTGTGTTGGTGCAGAAAAAGATATCGTCTGTTAGCTAGTGTCTTCTCTATCAGAACGAGGAAAATGCATAAGAACAAATATTTGAATATTGTGTTTTCTATTGGCATTGACTGTATTATACAAATGTTAGAATAGTGTAGTTTTAAATTTTTCTTTGGTAAAAGGGCTTTTCGTTTGTTTGTATTAGAGTCCTTGTGAAATTGAAAAAAAGTACAGTCATAGATCCAGAGGCTCTGACTCAAAACATTGGTAATGCAGTCTGGACATAGCTTTAAAAACTTTCATATGTGATTATAGGAGCCTTTGATAGATGACAAGACACAAGTCAGGGGAAGTTTAATCTGAGTATAGCAAAGGCTAACAAAGCTTGCTAGAAATTAGGAATTGATTTGGAAGTTAAATGTATGAACCTGCGTTCAAGCTGTAGACCCATGAAAGTATTTATTAATCAAGCAGAAACTTGGGGGGGGAATAACCTACATGCTATGTTAGCGGGTGCCATATAACGAATTTTATGGTAAGTTGGTGGGTGTGGCATGTGCACTATTATAAGACTCACTGAAAACTAACTAGAAAAATTATGGAGCTATTTTTTAAAATACTGTAAAACAATATAGCTAGTATCTTCAATATTTGCTTAATAATTATTGAGTATAACTACTAAGACAATATGGAATATGGAAATAAAAATATAAAATAACACTTTTGTTAGCATACATTTGAAAAGCCAGATATTTAAAAATTAAATTATAAAATTTTATAACTTATAAGGATACATTTACATGTATAAATGTGATATTTGCTGTAAAGGAAAGGTGAATATTAAAAATACACTTTGAGGGCCAGGGATTTAGCTCAGTGGTGCTGCCTCTTGCCTTGTAAGCACAAGGTCCTGAGTTTGATCTCTAGTACCATAAAAAAGAAAAAAGAAGAAAAAGAACACTTTGATTTGATCTACTGCAGAGTCCAAGAACCCAGAATAAATGATAATCTTTAATCAAATGCCATTATTGAAAATAAAAATATAACTCCTAGGAGGAAAGTATCATTATTTCAATGAATAAATAAATAAGAGAAAGTATTCAAGGAAATGAGGAGACTATAAAATATCCATTGGATACAGTTAAAGAAGACAATGGCCAAAAAAATCACAACATTGATGAGGAAGTTACATTTGAAATTCTCTGGAAATGTAGAAGAAAAGGACAAGGAGGTAAATTGGGAAAGAAGGATTTAGAAAGGAAACTAAAAATTCTGATATTTCCAAGATAGAAATCAAAAGTGGAAAAGAAGTATCAATCAAAGACATAAAGGAAGAACAGTTTTCTCCTATGAAGAAAGGTGAACATATGGACTGTGGTCTCTTCATTTGTATCATGTCTTCAAACCTCCACTCCCCACCTAACTCCAACTCAGTGTAGATGACTTTTCCTTGAACGTTTCTAATATGTTTGCTTGTATTTTTATAGTGGCACAGTTTGTAATAGCTAAAGCTTGGAAACAGCCCAATTGCCCATCAACTGGTGACTGGACAAAGAAGATATGTTGTTATTGTTGTTTCAATAAAATGGAGTACTATCAGCCATAAAGAATGAGAAATTGAAGACATTTATAGCTAAATGGTGAACAATGAGGCCATACTCTTAAGTGAAATAAATAGGACACATGTGTAAATACCAAACAGTTTCTCTGGTGTGAAAAACTGAAAGTGTAAATGAGGGTCAAAATGTATAATAGATAATGTTAAACAGAAAGAAAAGGTCTAAAGGGTAAGGGAAAGTGGGAAGGGTGGGGGAAAGGAAAGATGAAAGAGGAAAAAATATGAGAAAAGAAAACATGGAAACAAAGTCTTTGTAAATGGGGAGGAGAGGAGGGGTTGAAGGGAGGGCAGGGGAATGGGGAAAATTTTTTTAAATGTTTGCTTGTTAAATGTTTTTATTATATCCTCAGCAATATAGAACTTCTCAAATGATAATATGACAGAGGGGCACTTTTATATTTATTCATTTATTTATTTATGCTTATATGATAACTATCAGTCACAACCACTTGTGATAACCACTATGATAACCACTAGTCATAAGCTCCAGGAAAGTAGAATTCATTTTTTGCACATTATATTAGTCTGGTTCTCCAGAAAGAATCAATGGAAATATAGATGGCAGAAAAAAGAGAATTGATTAAGGGAATTTGGAGGCTAAGAGGTCATGGATCATCAGCAGGCTGGAGACTCAGGGAGCCCAGGGTCATGGCAAAGTCCAAGCTTAGGGAAGCACATGGTGTACCTCTCAGTTGAAGGCCTAAGGCAATGGTGATGAACCTTTGGCACACCTCTTATTTGTTTTTCTTTTAAGGCAAAGGATGTTAATGTATGAGGCTTCTGCTAAAATCTCAGTAGTCAGGTTCAGCTGCAGTATTGGTCCTTGGTGATAAATACATGAGTTTTAGGTTGCAGTTTGGGCACTCATCTCTACGAGGTTTGGTACCCCTGACCCAACATCTGAGAACTCTGGATGGCCTCTGGTACAAGCCCCAGGGTCCAAAAGCCAGAGAACCTGGAACTCTGATCCCCAAGGGTTGAAGAAGGATAACCCAGCTCCAGGAGAAAAGAAAGAGAAAATTTGCCTTTTTGTTCTATCCAGGACGCTGGACAATTGGATGCTACTTGCCCATGTTAAGATTATCTTCCTGACTCAGTTTATGTACTCATACACCAGTCCATTCTGCAAATATCCTCACAGACACATCCAGAAATCATGTTTTACCAATTCTTTAGTTATCCCTAAATGTAGTCAAGTTGATACCTAAAATTAACCATTATACCTATTTAATTTCCTGCATTTGACTGGTGCCCAACACATAAGCAGTGCTATATTAATTATTTTGAAAGAATGAATGATTGCATAAATAAAGTCCAAAAATAGCCATCATATAAAACATGAATTTTACAGATAAGAATTTAGAACAACACGCAAAAAAGTAAAATATTACACTAAAATTATAGGAGTGATTGTTTTAATTACTTTGAAAAAAAATAATTTTAAAAGGGGAAACGTGAGATTTAAGTTATAGAAAAACAAGATATTTTTTGATTGCCACCTAGGTATTAAGACAGACATTTACAAAATAAAACCTTTGCTCCTGACAGCTCAGGAGTGAACTAGAGAAGTAGGCAGGTGACACGTGGTAATACACAGTACAGTGAATGATATGATAAAATTAAATGACAATTTATATGAAAATCGTGTGGTCATTCACAGTGACTATGACACTCATCCTGTTTCAATCTCAGCATGTATGTTGCCAGAGATTTTCCCAAAATAAAACTATTGAGAATGAATAAGAAATTTGGTAGAGGTCACGGTCCATTTCCTCTCGTGTGCCGCCCACTGCTCCTGAACAGACTACATTCACCACCCGGAAACCACACACAAACTGCAAATACGATGATGACGTGGATGAAGCCACAGAGACCCCCAGCAACAGGCCCCAAGTCCCCCACATGACCAAACTCCAACCTGTATTCGCTATAAAACCTGAGGGCGCGCCAAATACTGTGTCCGGATGAATGGCAGGAAGCTTAATCCCGTGCATTAAAACTTGGATTTCATTAAAGTTAGAAAAGATAATTTTATCACTCACTTCACCCATTAGCTTGCAATTTCAATCATTTTGCTGTTGGTAGCTTCTGTTTCTGTCTTTCTTTCCTCCCCTCCTTTCACCTCCCCTTCTTCTTTCTTTCCTTTTTTTTTTTTTTGGTGCTTGAATGAAACCCAGGGCCTTGGGCGTATCAAGGATGTTCTCTAACAACTATGTAATAGCTAGTCCTCCAGCCCCAGTGATTTTTATTTTTTTTTCGTACCGGGGATCAAACTCAGGTCCTTGCTCTTACAAGAAAGGTGGCAGAACCGCTGAGCTAAATCCACGGTCCCCCAATGATTTTTAAAAAGAGACTTTTCACAGAGTTACAAAAGAAGAACATGGGGAAATTCATGGAATAAAAGTTCCCAGAAATATGAGACTAAGCAAAATAAAATTGCCTATTGCAGTATGTTTAGGACTGATCCTACCAATAAAGACTGTACGTTTAAATCCTCTACAACAGTGTTCCTTGTCACATTCATTAAAAAAGAAGTTTTCATTTGTCTGATAATTCTAACATCCATGTTGTAACTGAGATTTGGTTCTGATGATTGCTTTTATTCAAATTGTTTTTATTGCCTTTTTATATCTTAGAATTTTGGTTGAAATCTACAGGTATAACACAGGATAGTTGCTCCTACAGTGATTTGATTTTATATGTGGGGATGTGCACACCTTTCTGCTAAGCGTAAGGTGTGTGGGTGTACGTCAGGTGTAGGGCTGAGTTTGAAGTTTGTATTACAATTACTGCAGGCATAGCAAAGGCTTCAGATCCGCTAGGGAAAATCTCATATTTAGTGTCTGATTCCATGTGGCTTTGGTTTTCCCATTGGCTTTGCTATCTAGGAACAATCTGTCTCTTGTCATCCTTTCAGTCTCATTGCACTTGTGCTTTTACTAAATGCTTATCACCAGAAAGTAAGGGAGGAAGTTGAGGGAAAGATAGGTTCTCTGTTGTTCTGATTAAGGTCATTCTTGGGCAAGTTCTGTGAAACTGCCCTTGGGGATGACCTGACCTCCCTCAAAGGTGGAGTTTTCCTCCTTCTTTGCTTTCAGAGTCCCAGAAGTTTCCATCAGTACCTTCAAGATGTAGTTTTTGGTACCCTTCCCTAGTGAAAATAAAATCTTTGTTCTTCTAGAGAAGAAAAGAGGGATTGGCCTGGAGCAAATCCTGAGCAGTTCTGGTTGTTCTTGCCCTTCCAACACCAAGATTCTCTCTCATCTTCCCAGAGGGTGCCTGGTCGGGCCCCAGGAGGGATCAAGTCCAAACATTTCCTCCCAGGGCTTCTGTAGTCTCAGGAATTCAACTTTCTCATACTAACTTGTGCACAGACTTTAGACGTTCATTACGAACTTCTAGCTGAGCTGGTTTATGACTTAAGTGGCATTGGTTGTCTTTTGCCCTGTACTAATTCGTTTTCTATTGCTATAGAAAATTATCTGAGACTTGGTACATTATAAAAAAAGAGGTTTATTTGGCTCACCGTTTTAAAGGTGAAAAAGACTGGTGGACCCATTTATCTGGGTTCGGGTGGGGCCCGTGTGCAGGTGATATTGCAAGGATAGTAGTGTAAGGCAAGAAAGGAAGCCAGAGCCACTAGGGTCAGGCTTGCCCTTTTTATAGAAACCCATTCTTCCATGATCTAAGCAGGGCCTCACAAGTACTACATCAGTCCCTCTTGAAAGCATCATCCTCACTGGCCTGTGTACCTTGTACTAATCTCAAACTCTTTTTTTTTATTATTGTTTATTGGTACATTTTAGGTATATGATACAGTTACATTCATCATTGGGATCTTGTACCTTTACGTGACTTATCTGGGTTCTTATTTTTTCCCCCATACCTCAACCTTCCCTTCTCCTCCACCCTTCCCTGTTTACAAAGTTGTTCCCCTTTTTTCCTTTTCTCATATTTTGTATTTTCCATTACCCTACCCCTCCCACTTCCCCTACTCTTTTAGTCCTTTTTTTTTCTATTACACAAAGTCAATTATACATTTTTATCCTTATTTACACTTTTAGTTATCACACTAGAGAAACTATTTGGTATTTATATATGTGTGTCTTATTAATTGCACTTGAGTATGGCCTCAGTGTGCATCCATTTAGCTATAAATGTCTCTAGTTTCTCATTCTTTATTGCTGGGTAGTACTCCATTTTATAAAACAACAACAACAACAACAACAACAAAAAACCCATATCTTCTTTATCCAGTCTCCAGTTGATGGGAAGTTGGGCTGTTTCTAAGCTTTAGCTATTACAAACTGTGCTACTATAGACATGGGCGAGCATATATTGCTGTGGTTTGATTCTTTTAATTCTTTTGGGAAGATACCCAGCAGGGGAATAGCTGGATCAAATGGAACCTCTAATCCTAGTTCTTTGAGATATCTTCATATTGATTTCCACAGCCGTTGCACCAGTCTGCACTCCCACCAACAATGGAGAAGGGTTCCTTTCTCCCCACAGCCCTGCCAGCATTTGT